AATTTTGATTCTGGTCAGAGCAGTTTTGCAGTGTAGGCTAGAGGCGCTAATGAGGTAAGGGCCTCGTCCGGGACCGCCACACTAGAGAGTACAGAGTGCACACACACCCCGCACGGCGTGGCGGGGATGCGGACACCGCCGGACGCGCTTGCGGGACACGCGCCTGAGGCCACTACACTGTCGGCGACCTCGAACCGATATCGCCCGCGCACGACCCTAGGGGGGGGGAAAGGGGTAACCGGTCGGAGGGGAAGTGTGTCCAAGCGAGAACGCGGCGGCGCCTGCCGTGTGAAATGTCAGTTTCGAGTGCGTCAACGGGGTGCCTCTCTCTCTCTCTCTCTCTCTCTCTCTCTCTCTCTCTCTCTCTCTCTCTCTCTCTCTCTCTCCTCTCTCTCTGACAGAAGTTATCCCCGCGTGATGGCGACAAAACGCGCGACGAGCCGCTGACAGATGACACTGCCGTCGCGCGCCACACCGCAAACTATCCGAGGTGCGGGAGGGGAGGGGGAGGGGGAGCCGCAGCACGCAGGAACAGACTGCCACCACCAACCAACAATCAATCCCACCAAACTTTCGAGAAAAAAAACAAACAAATTGAATAAAAATTATGCAGCGCAAACGGTTACTACATTAGTAGCACTGACGAGCGAAGAGCGTATGGGAAAGTGTGAAGTACACTAGGGCTTCCGGCAGACCGCGCACACACACACACACACACACACACACAGTGTCACACCCCGTTCGGAAAGCAAAGCCCCGATAGCGGGAAACAGGCAGGGCCAATTTGTCGCGTCGCCACGCCGTGCCGCCCAGGTAGTACTAATAAAACGGTTTGTGTGTGTGTGTGTGTGTGTGTGTGTGTGCGTGTGTTGCGTGCACCCACACACACACAGCGCTATCACCCTCTCGATGCTCCGCGCGGGCGGCACTGATCGCCGCCAATTACGTGACAATCAAGCCGTCTGTCTGTCCGTTTGTCTGTCTGTCTGTCCGTCCGTCCGTCCGTCCGTCCGTCCGCCCGCACCCTTTCCCTGCCGTAGTTGCAGCCCCGACCGCAGCGCGGCGCTACGTGCGCGCGACGTGCGTCGGTCTGAATTAATTAGACGGCCAATTATTTCGTCAACACGCTGCCCGACGTGTCCGACACCCTAATTGTGTCGATGGGCGCGAGCAAGCCGCTCGGACACCCACTGCTCTCTCTCTCTATCTCTCTCGCTCTCTCTCTCCTCTCTCTCTCTCTCTCTCTCTCTCTCTCTCTCTCTCTCTCTCTCTCTCTCTCTCTCTCTCTCTCTCTCGACTTTTCCGGCACACATCATTATGCTCGGGGCGTGTGGCGTGTCCACCAGGGCGGTCACCACCAGGCTCGCCGCCAACCCCCGAAGGCCCGAAGGGGTGCGAGAGCGGTCCAAAAGTTGAGATTCACATTCGGGTTCGCTCGGCTGGGCGGCCGCCGTCTCTTTCGTTTCCGGCACACGTTTAAATTCGCGCGTCCGCTGCCGCGTCGTCGCCATGGAGACCGCGGCCAAATGGCGCTCAAAAGCCAAATGGAGCACCACAGTCACAGTGTGGTGTTGCAGTTCATCCCTACAGTGTGCAGTGCCGCGCTCACAGAAACACACACACACGCGCACACACACAAAAGCGCGAAACCGCGGCGCACTCATTGACAAAGCACGCGGCATGCCAGCGCCACTGTAGGACGCGCGGCGACAGCGCCACTACACTATCCAGCGCCCTGGAGCGGCCAGTGTGTGTCCGGCGAGGATGCCTTTGCATCTGTGACGGTCAATCGCAAACGACCGCAGCGGCGGCAGCTCCACTGGTCTTCTGGCCCACTGTGCAGTGCCCCGCCCACGACGCGGCGACCAGCAAGCCGGGCGCAGCCGCGGACCGGACCAATTTCAGTCCAGAGTCCTTCGGGGCTGTCATCAGAATGAAACAGGCACCCCAAATGACAGCAAACAAACACACACGCGTCGCTGTACTACAAGCGGACAGGTGTGCGTGAGTGCACGAGAGAGGGAGAGAGAGAGAGAGAGAGAGAGAGAGAGAGAGAGAGAGAGAGAGAGAGAGAGAGAGAGAGAGAGAGAGAGAGAGAGAGAGAGAGAGCAGAATAACCCATTTGTACGCGTCACCCTGTGCGGACCGCCCATTCCGCCGCGGTCATACGCGGCGCGCGACACAATGCGACTGGATTTGGCAGTGACCAGCACCCGCCACCCCCACCCTCCTTCTCCCCCTTCTTCCGAATGGAGGGAATTTAGCGAGAAAAGAAGTGGGACGAAAACCCCCCCGTAACAACGCGCACCCGGCGGCGACCTTCCCGATTTCCCCAAATCCAAATCACGGGTATTGAGAAACACACCAAACCACTTTTTTTTTTTCTTTGATTTTTCCGTTTTTCCTTGTGGGGTCCTTTTGAAATTTCCAAAATCATCTATGACCCAACTTCACGCGGGTTTTGTAAATTTTTTGTTTTTTTTTGGCCGTTTGAAATTTGCCGGGGAATTTTTGAAATGACTGGAGACCTTTTGCCACCATTCACCCCACATTGGGAAAGCACCCGCCAAAGGGTCCACTTTCACTGCTTTTTACGTTGTTTGTTTCCGGGACTCGCCAGGGGCGAAAGAAGAGGCCTTGGGGACGAACCCTTTGAAGCTGAAACCACACCCCCCCTTTTGACCCCCCCCGACCGCGACACTGCCGGATTTGACTCGCGCGTCACCTGGTCCGTTTCGACGTTTTGACTTTCCTAATTTTCTAATCCGGCCAGCGGTTTTTTTCTCGTTTATACAGTGGCCTGGCGCGGCTCACGGCGGACGCGGAACTCCACAGTGTAGTTCCAACCGGCCGCGGTTCCCGCTCGCAGCACAGCAGAGCCGCCGTTGCTCTTTTCGGTATGAGAAACTAATGAGAGCGTCGCATTGTGGAGCAAGCAACTCGAGTGTGAAGTGATCCGGAACCGGCCGGGCCGAGTCGGAGCCGCCACTATAAAATAATTTGTCCAAACCTGGGGGACATCATTTGTCAACGCGCGCCGCGACCTCGCGATGCCAATTCGTCCGGAAATTATTCTTTTTACGATCGGAATGGCACCTCGCTCCGTCTCTGTCGCACTCTCGGCGCGTCGCGGAGCGGGTGCGAGAGAGACAGAGCGGCGGCTGCAGCACTTGGACCGAACAGGCTTACCAGCTTCAACGGGCACCAAGTAGTAGTGGTAAGTTTCTGCAGGCCAAACAGGGGCAGCCCAGCCAAAGATGCTGTCGGCGATGACCACGGCCACGGCAAGACGCGGAGTCCTCTCTCTCTCTCTCTCTCGCACTCACGGGGCGTCCCGAAGGGGTGCGAGAGAGACAGAGCGACGAAGACGACTCTGCTTGCCGCGCACTCGTTGATTCATTCCACACTCGAATCTTTTTTCCTCCTCCCGGATTGCCACACAAGGGTGGCACACTGTGGCACGCACACAGTGCAGTGGCACAGTAACGAACATTCTATGGAGCGCGACAGAGAGGCGACCGGCCCCCGCCATTAGGGCAGTGGCGTGGAAGGCTGACTCGCCGCGTCTCTCTCGCGCACCTCCCGGACCGTCCGCGACCGTCCGGGACGCCCCGCGGGTGCGAGAGAGAGACACTGCTCGAACTGCAGAGGCAAATTGAGAGGAACAAAATGGCCATTACTGCAGCCCCGGTGCACTGGGAGCGCAGCGCACCCGTCCTAGGTGTCGCCACGGCGTCGCGGACCGTCGCGGACGTGGTCACGGAGTCACCGACGCGGCCAAAACTCTAGACGCGTTTTGAGCTCCAGCGTCGCTAAACAGAACTCGAACCGATCAACAAAGCACCCCCACAGGAACACCGCGCGGACACAACACACCCAGCCGAACACACAGAACACCCCGCCACACACGGATTCAAAGTCACCCGAACACACGCGACATGCACTTGCAAGGGAAAAGGGCACGGCGCCGGGGCACTCGAGTCGAGGGACGCATTTCCATCTGGAGGAAGGGTTGCACAGTGGGCCAGACGACCGGTGGAGGCGGCAAAAATCCCGGACGCAATTTGAGCTCCCGAGTCGCTAAATGGGACTCTGGAGCTCAAAACGCGTCCAGAGTTTTCGCCGCCAGCGCCGTTCTTCTGGCAAATCCACTGCGGGTTACGGGCACACTGCGAGGCGGCCGCCGACGCGCGACGCGGAACGAGACACAGCACACTGGATAATTCGCGGGGGTACACTGTAACCCTAGCCAGTGGCAGCGGGGCATTGTCACAGCGAGGCACTCACTCCCGGCAGGCGGATTTCCAACGGCGGTCTCCCGTCTCTCTCGCACTCCGCGAGGTGTGCCTGAGGTGTGCGAGAGAGAGCGACGCTCCGCAGCATCGAGTTACACGCAAGTATACGCAAGTGTACGCACTACCGCAAAGCGCGCGACGCGCGGTCACCTAATTGACCGCAGAATTTGCGTTTCGGCGGCTGGGAGGCTGGAAGCCCACCACGGCGGCGCCACGCCACTGCAAATTTTTACGTACAAACTTTTTGAATTTTAAAATTGCGCTAGTGGACACAAATGAGATTAATTTTATTTTAAAAAGCAGTCCGAACAAACAAAAAAATAATGAAATATTTTTTTGAATTTTTTAAAAAAAGAGTTTTTGGATTGACACGGCTCAAGCGGCTGCGGGGTTTTGGTTCGCAGTCTGAAGGCCCAGTGGCGGGTGGACGCGGGTGGTGCACTGCACCCGTTTCTCGGGAAGCGAGGAGGCGCGACGGACAGCCGTTCTCCCGGCACTTGGCACCATGTGGCCGGCCGACCCGACTCCACCAAATATTTACAATTTACGCCCAGAAGCGGCGTGGTGAATGTGGTGGGAATGCGGTGGGAGCGCAGTGGGAGCGCGGTGGGAGCGCGGAAATGCTGGTCTCGACTCGAGTGCTCCGTGCCATCCCTTGTTCCGGGTGGGTCCCCGCTGCCCGCTCCCAATCCAGCCGATACTCACTTCTGAAGCCGCGGCCCTCCTCCGGCGTGGAGCGCTCCGTGCCCTCCGACACGGAGCCCGGCGTGGCGGTGCCGTCGCGGTCCTCGGACATGGGGGCGTCGGAGCTTTCTTCCTTCACTACTTGGTGCAGGTTCGGGGGGGAGATGGACACTGAGGCGGGGGAACTTGAGTCTGAGCGTTGCTGCGCCTGCCCGTTCATGTAGTTCCGTTCTTCGGCCGCGGCGCCGGGGGAGAACAGGGTCGTTTCGTGCGTGCCGTTGCTCGTCTCCACCTTGAGGCACTTGGACGGCGGCGCGAAGGCGGAGGCGAAGCCTTTCCCTTCGTGGACCGGCGACGAGGCCAGCGGTCGGAAGGCCCCGGAGCCGAAGGGTAGCCTCGGGTCTAGCGCCGGGTGGAGGAACTGGGGCTGCAGGTGGTGCAGTAGGTGAGCCGGCAGACCGGGGTAGCCATCCATATGCCGGAGGCCGAAACCAGAGGTGGAAAAGGGTATGTGCAGGTCTTTGACTTCAGGCGTCTGCAACACAAATTAAACGTCACATCACCTCTTTACATTAAAGTACTGACTCTGTGCGAAGATAGCAACAAGCCGCACCTGTGGGTTGAAAGGTCTTTGCATCCGCAGCGCCTCAGGAAGTCCGCCAGCTTGCGAGAAAACAACCAAGGCAGGGGGTGGAAGAGGATTGGGTGCGTAGGCAGAATTTTCCATCTGAAACAGATCACCAAGCATGAGACACATGATGCAAATATCACATGAGTCCCAAAAAATATATTTATCACATGGTACAATCATTGGATGCACACTGCAGTCCGAATGAAGAAGTTTAACTGATTGTGGTGGCGCACATTTTTCAATACACTTCCCAGGAATAAGATAACTTCAGCGAGCATCTAACAGGTATGCCAGAAGCTTATGTGAAGGAGAAAGTTAATAAAGCCACTCTCAACCATCCTCCAGGAAAAGAAACCACTGTTAATGCAAACGGCGTCCAACCCGTTGTCTTTGTGCCAAAAATTTTTCACAAATTCACAAAGTCTACCACAAAGGGAGAGACGCAGGACCATCCGCACTGAGCACAATTAAAACATAACATCCACTGTGCGCAAATCTGCAGTCCATGTCTTCGCAAGAAGTAGAAATCCACAAGAAAGCACACGCAGGTCGCAAAATTCACAAGTCCACTTTTCAGGTTATGTTTCACAGGAGAATATCCAATAAATTCCGGGGAGGGCATGTCACGTCGCAAAACTGGCACAATTTTCTCACAGTCGAGTGTCACTCATCACACAGTGAGGCTGGGCCGCTGGGCATCAGCTGCTATCCAAATTTGCGGGCCAACACAACAAGTTGCCCATCACATTTCGGAGAGGAGCCCACGATAAACAACGGGTTTAAAACGCGGGGACAGCGCGGCCACCGGCCAGGACACTGTAGCACAGCACTTTCTAACACACACCACCAGCTGACACTTCACTACAGCGGAACGGTTCGCGTCAACAAGCAGAAGTAAATCGACATGAGAAAAAAACCGGCAAAATTGCCTAACGAACACAAGTCGGCCTGTACACACTGCGAACGCATTGCGGAAGGCACGGTCTGGATTACCTTGAATAAGTTAATGTGACTGTACCATGTGATAATTATTATAAATAAATGTAAATAGACGGAAAAGGGTTCAATTCATGTCAACAAATGTGCGGAGGAGCACGCTATTGCTTCCACACAACACACCAAAACCCGACTGAGCTTCATAACAAACTTACCTACTCCCTCATGTTGTCTCGTGTTGCATGCTGGGAGTCCCCCCTAGCCCACGCTGCGTTCTGATTGGCTGACGCTCGCCCGCTAGGTGGCGCTGCTGCGCGGCCCTGTCTGCTGGCGAGACTCCGCGCGATGAGCGGAGAGTAGTGACGAACTCGGCGCTACTCCGGGGGACCCGGCGACCGGAGTAAGTGCACGCCGCGCCGAAGGGAAGCCCCAAAAAACGATCGGCTGCAGTGCAGGCCGATGAGAGCTGATTTTGCCGTGTACCAGGAATCAGTCAACTCAGGCTAATCACCCTGTTGTGCTTATTAAATGTTTAATGAATTAGCCTGATGCATTTTTGTAATGTTCTGTGAATTTCCCTGCAGCACTTTTTAAAATGGTTTGAATGAGTTGCATTAATTTATCATGTTACCCTCTTGAATTTTTCCGCTTTATTTGCCCAACTACCTCCCTCTGTTTTCGCCATCAAATATGAGCCAGCGCCAGCACTATCTGTCCTCTTTATCCCCTGAGTAAATTCTTTATCAAACACTGAAATACTTTTTCCACTGAGCGACCAAGATTTTAAGACCTGTAGCTTCATGCGTTAATTTTTAATAATCCTGGATAGCTGTTTGGATCAGTTCAAAATTTTAATAGGAAATGACAAACAAACATAATCCTGAAGCAAAACTATTGTCATATTTCGTCCACTTAAACTCATTACATCAGTTAACAAATCAATAATGAAACAAATAAAAAAGAAAGCACATAGGATACTGAAATTAATGAGAAAAAGAATCCAACTATGCCCTCTTGCCATCGTTAAGAGTTTGCACCACACTTAATATCTCTATATCACATTTTTGTCCACAGCTCACAGCTCCACATGAGGTCCTGAACAGTCCTCTAGTATTGTCCTGACCCACCACATTTAAAAACTACCAAATCATTGTCTGAAAAACTGAACAGAAGTTGGGGGAAATGTTTTAATGGCTTTCCTTGATAACTAATCATTATCTGAAAGTGGGGACTACAATTACTGATAGGACGGGATAGTCAACGAGGCGGCAAATGTCTAGTTAATGAATGGAGGAATATGTCTTAATTGTTCATCTCATGTAAAGTACAAATAATGATAACAATTGCAGGCCCTTCATCCAGGGGGGGGGGGGGGGGGCATTCAGAATTATTAAAATTTCAAACAGACCAAACCTTGAGCTTCAGCATATTTAGAATAATCACAGATGAATCATTGTTAAAAACAATAAAATTTTACAGGCACTACAACATTTCTAAAACACAGGGTTAGATAATTTCACTAAAAATAATGATACAGTATCATGTTATGTTTTTGGACCCAGGGCTAAAACAGAGAATAAACATAATTGTCTACCTATTAAATTTGGCACTAAGAGGGAAAATGTAGATAGAACACCTTCTAAAAAACAAAACAAAAAAAATTTTAAGCGAGCACAAACAAATTATGTATCTTGAGTTCAGAAAACCTGACAAAATCAGTTACCACTTACTATGACAATTTGTAAATTCATGTGCTCTTTGCTTTGCAAAAAATATAAAGTATTGTTAAGAGTATTGAAATTTTGCAATTTTCTTGACCATCAATCTACATTTCAGGCAAATTTCAGCTAATCTCTTTGAGGAATAAAAACACTAATTTAAACTCTAAATTAGTATAAACGACCCTCTGAAAATCGATAATTAACATAACACTTCCATAAAAAGACTTAGATTACCAGGCAAGTTGCCAGCATACATTTTCTTTAAGATATGACGATTCAAAAAATTTTAAAATGAAAGACCTCTATTGCCATAGTTTTACCAGAATTTGGCATGACTAAGCCGTCTTATTTGAGAACGGCCTTTCAATGAAATTAGACCAAGTTATTCTTTCAATGTCCTTCTGAATATAGACAACTTCCAGCGCAATTTTGGAGGATTTATGTTCCATCTGCACAAGTTAACAGAAAACATTCACTAAGAATTTACTTCATTTTACAGCTAAAGCTCACGGGAACAAAAACTCAGGTAGGTTTTATGCTGCATATTGCAGGAAAAGTTTGGAACACTCTACTGGAAAGATTCTTGTTTGAAGACTAAATCAATGGCCTTTGATACATTCTCGACAGTGAAATTGGGTTCTCTCAGCTTTTCTTCAACTGGAAGGAAGTCTCTTGGTGAGTGATCCAGCAAACTTTCCTCTCGGTCAACAGAATAAACACCAGTCTAAACAAAAGACAAGAATTGGTTTAAAAAATCTTGTCAGCATATAATGTGTTTCTTTGGAAAATGAAAAAGGAAAAATACCTCCACAAGAATACTGAAGCAACTCTCTGCCCCCATGTCCCAATCACTAGGGTCAGCTTGAAGAAGATGCTCAATAGTACGAGTCCGTGCAACTTGTTTCATTCGACCACTTGCTTTGCGTTGAGAGAGATATTGGTTGTAGAGGTTTGCTCCAAAAACATCAGTGTTAATGTTGTCACTAACAATCAAAGAAAGTAGTCTTACAAAACCAGAGACAGATTGATACAGGCAACATAAGAGCAATAAATGAATTTGTCTTACCCAATAGCATAGAGCCTCTTCAAATGATGATTAACTCCAATAGACTGTGCTTGAGAAAGCACAACGTGATGAGCATGGTGATAAGTAATTTCACTAGGTTTTCCAATCAAAGCTGTGTATATAAGATCTTTCCCTGTTATTTTTTTGTACAAAGCCTCTAAACACAGCAAGAAAGCACCATGGCCAAACCTACAAACAGAAGATTTCAGCATAAATTGAGACATAGTAGACAACAGGAAGAAGCCAGATTGGTAAGAACAATTTCCCAACCTTGGCATACAGGCTTCAGCCATCCACTGTAAATCCATATTACAAGCCAGTACAGGTATGTGAGGGTAAATAATCCCTGGAGGAGCTGTTGATGGCTGCCCATTGGCCATCAGAACATCCAAGATTAGCTGGAGCGAAGTTTCCCACCTCACAGGCTCTCCAAAAAGAACTACTGCCTCCACAGGTACAAATGACCGTTCATGAGGGCCAGCCTAAAAGGGAAACAAAATTGACAAAAGTTACCTAGGGAATGACTCAAGAAAACTTTTCTGGCCTTTGCAATGAATGAAGCTTGAATGTGTGCATGAAAATGTCTTACACCAGATGAGCGACGAGCATGATCCACAGCATCCAGAGTGGGGAACGTTGTCCTAAGTTCATCTATGGTAACAATGTTGTGGAAGCCCACATTTCTGGCTATATCTGCCACAGGACCTTGGCCAGAGACAAGAACCCGCTTGTCATGGAACTGTTGGAACATTCGTAGAGGTGAATGAGCCATCACTACCTGATCTTCTGACACCTGAAAGTGAAACACATTTCTGATATAAGAGAAAGATTCCAAAGGAAAAAGATGAAGAAACCTTTGAATAAAATTGTACCTCAACCCCAAGCCACTTGGTAAGCTGAATCGCTCGTTCGTGTCTGAGGGCATTGCCAGCATTAGTGACAAAGACAGTGGGCACCCTGAACACTCCATTTTTATCGACCAATTTTTGGAATGATTCAGGCACAGACTGAATGACCTTCTTGCCCCGCACAATAACTCCATCAATGTCAAAGAGCAGTCCGAATTCGGGCTGGTTGACCTGCAAAAATGCCAAAAGAATTACACAAAGCAAATCATATTGGCCTTGACACAAAGTTGGTTTCAACATCAAACATTCCATGTCACTTTATTAACAATGGAAAGAGTGTGAAACAAACATAAAAATTAGGTATCTAAGACCTGCAGAAAATAATAGCCATTTAAAGTTATGTACAATGTAGTCGCTTGTTGACACCGCGGCTGTCAAGTTGAAGATGTCACGCAAGATTTCGGAATTCAGTAAGGTTATGAAACGGCAAAGGTAACTATCACAGTTGAAATTTCACTTACGGCTCACATAACGTATGACTGTCTCAGACCACACTACAAGAGCAACTTACCTTTGTTCCGAAGTACCTAGACGATTGGGAAGCAAAAACTTCAGTGCAGAGTTTTAACAAGTTTGTCCTGTGAAACCGTCCCATTTCACCTCTCCACATAAGGGCAGCCATTTTTAAACGTCAGATTTGATGTGCTCGGACCCAAGCAGACGAAAAACCAGTTAGCAAGATGAACATCCTTTCAGTGCACGACCTGATTGCAGTCCGATTGGCCGGGTCGGATCGAAACGTGCTGTGATTGGTCAAAGCAGGACGTGCTAGGAGGTGGACTCTCCCTTCTCAAAACATACCCCAGCCTGCCTGATTTCGTCTGCTAGCGGTTCAGGTTGGCTCCCCCGTTCCAAAAGTTGGTACGCGTGTACTAAATACAGTCGTCACAAACATGGCTGACACCGAGGTAATGTGGTCCTTTTGTCACGTGGATTATTTTTCAATTTATCCGAGATAAACCTTCCTTCGACGACTTTTTCCTATGAATTGTATTTTTTTCTAGCTTGCCAAAAGCTTGAAGGATTTGCCTTCGCGCATCCAGTCCGCAAGCACCAAGGAACGGCAACAAGTGATCAAACATGTTATCTCAATTTTGTCAAATCCAGGTAAATTTCCGGTAAAATAAGTTACTTTAATCAGGCTCCTTTATTTTAGTTGATGCGATGTCTGTTACGAGAGTCTGAGTGAAGTTTTTCAAGGCTTGGGCGATTTTCAGTCAGTGTACGACTGGCCTGAACGGCACCGGACACTTTGTCTCTTTTTCTCAATTAATGCGATTTACGCCCTTTTCTAAGCCGGATACAACTATTTAAGCACCTGAGAAATATGTCTCAGACGATGTCATTCCCTTGTTCATTTATAATTCACCGTATCGAAAGGTTCGCGTACTCATTGCTTACCTAACCTAATTTTCTTTTTGGTGAAATTGTGTTCTTTCGGTGTTACAACAGGAATTAACCGTTAAGTTCTTTCTGATCCTGTTTTCGCGCCGCCTTCGCAACACATCAATTTATCTGTAAACCTGAGAACCGTCCACTTGTCTGTCGAGTTTTACCTGTGTGTCGATGAAGGTTTCTTCCCATTTGTGCCCTCCCTTAGATAGTATTCTTACCTTTTTCTGCTCTCTCCTACGTTGAGTAATCTTCTTACATTCTTTTTTGTAGGTATCACAGAACAGGTTGTTCGTGGCCTATGCAGGCTGCTGCCCATCACTTTGCCTCGATACAGTGATAGTAGATCAAAGGCAGCTGTTTGTCAGCTCATTTCAGCTCTCCTAAAACATCACAAAGAATGGACAGTTAAACACCTCACTGCTTCTCTTGGGGAGGTTGCAAATGGTTACAAGTCCTTAGTTCCAACGTAAGCGAATAATTTGTACAGTCTACTTTTTGTCTCCTTTTTTTTATGTTCTGGAAGTATGTATTGATGTAATTTATGACTTTTTTTTCAGGCGCAACACTTCTTTGACTGCCCTTCAGGCCTTGATTTGGTCTTGTATGGTGGTTGAAGTTGGTTTCCAAGATGCTTCCGATGCCTGCAAGTCTGAGTTCCCTGCCCTCTTTGAGGCGCAGGCTGTACTTCTTTGTGCTGTTGTTTCTTCCAACTTGAGGAAAAGCAAACTGAAAGTTTGTCGACTGACCTATAAGATGTGGAAATCAAGTTCATCTGTCATTGACTTGTATGTCTCAACACTTCAATCTTTGAAAGAGCCATCTTTCCAATACATTGTGTTTGGTTCATATTTAATACATCATTTAGTAAATGACAGCAATGCAGAGTTGGTTAAAAAATTTAAAGCGAATCTTTTGGACATGTTTATTAAAGTTGCTGTCAGTGTCAAAGTTAAGCCGCCTGTCTATGTGGTGGATGAGTCTTGTGCACTGTTGCGCCAGCTAACCCATGACGAGTTCAAGGGGCAACTGTTGCCAGCTGTACAGAAGGCAATGCTGCGAAACCCTGAAATTATTTTGGAGTGTGTTGGTCATATTATCTCAGCTGTGTCTTTGGACCTCAGTCAATATGCTAGTGACATTGGGAAAAGCTTGGCAGCAAACCTCCACTCCAAGGAGGACTTAGCTCGAGTCGAGTCAGCAGATGCCTGCAAGCGTCTGGCTCAACAGTGTAGTGATGCTACTGCTATTGAGCAGCTGCTGAATCAGATCTTTGCTGTGTTCCATGGGTCGGAAGGGAAGTTGACAGTTGCTGAGCAGAAAATAAGTGTCTTGCAGGTATTTATAATGAACCCTATTTCCCTGTTTGTTCAATGCTTGAATTGGATTATTAAATTTTCACTTAAATCTTGTAGGGAGCGGGAAATCTGAGTTTCAACACTGTGAGTGGAAGTAGTGTACAAAAACTTGCTACTATTGCTGCAGAGCAGTTCATTAAGGTGGTTGGTATTGAAGGTATGTTCTGAAATAATCTGGTATTATGGTATATTATGAGGTTTGTTTTCTTTTGAATCAATCTTACTTTTCTTTGCAGCGCATGAAAAGACTTTAGTGCATGCCCTTGAAATGATGTCCCTGTGGTGTTCCAAATTTACCAATGAAATTCCGGCTTCTGTAATTGATGGATTGAAGGTAACTGCCATATTCTTTTCCTGCTAGTATACATGTTTCTAACTTAAAATTGATGGCTGTTTTTAATTTTTTTTTGTGTTTTCTTGTCTTGTCTCTGCAGAAGAGCTTAGGGTTGAAAACATCAACTGCACCTATCCGCACTGCTATCATTCAGTGCATGTCTTGCTGTTTCACAAGCAATACTGCTCATCTTGGAACTGACTTGGTTCCGCTGCTCTTGAAAACAATTGAAAAAGGTGCTTCACAACAAACTCAGGCACCTGTTGTCACAGAAGCTCTTGCTGCTGCGTGTCTGCTCCTCAAGCTGTGCTCTAGTGAGGGCACAGTGTCTGAAACACAACTGAGCTCAGTTTTTCCAGCAATTACTGATCCTGAAAAGCAGCTATTTGTAGCTGAAAAGTTTTTGTTGGTTGCATCTGATGAAGCTCTTAACAATGTCATGAACCTGAGTGAACAACTGTTGGTTAATCATGTGGATAAGCTTGAAGGGCGCAGCCAGCCGTTTCATCGTGCAATCATTTTTTGCCTGACCTGTGGCAGTGCAAATGTGAAAGTCCACAGCCGTAATGTTGTCAAAAAAATGGTTTCATCACTTGGAGGAACTGAAATAGCGCGGGCTTTATTGAGGGAATTCACTCATTCTTTAGAAACTCTCAAAATTCAGGTATGTTAAATATTTTCTTTGAAGGCTTTGCTGTACATTATTGCTTTTACTGAATTGAGTTGAATTGAGTTAATATCTTTTCCTTGTGCAGTACACTAGCAGCAAAGAGGCGAAAGAAAACAAAGAAAACTCTGAGGGTGGTACAGGACCAGGTGGTGGACCTGAGGCAACACCTCAGTCGCTAGTTGGTTGCCTCACTGCCCTCTGCTCTGCAAATGGCCTCACACCAGAAGATGCTTTCTACATTGCACAGGAGTCTTTGATTGCATCTAACCACCCAGCCATTGGTAGGTAGAATCTGAACCATCCTCCAATGGTTTATGAAAGCTTTATCTGTTTGTGTATTAATTAAGCTAACCTATTTCAGCTGCTGTTGCCCCTGAATTATGGCTGAAAATTGTGCGGCACATGAATTGTGAACCTGCAACCTTGTTGGCTCGCTTATCGCAGAATATTCGGACCACACTGATTGATAATTACAAACCAACTCCTGTAATTATTACCTGAATTCTCTTCAATATTGATTCCTCTTACAATTAAAGGTTTTAATTTTGTTCTTGCTTCCTCTAGATTATGGAGAAAACGTTAGCTTTGGTTGTCAAAATCAGCCCTAATATCATTCTGCCTCATTTATTAGCAAGAGTAAATGATGGTTTAAATGACCAATCATTATTGCATATAAGCAAAGATGAGTACTTCATTTTTCAAACACCGGAAGGAGTTCTGTATGACAAGAGCTGTATTGGGTAAGGAAACATACACTGTGTTTGTTTGTTTGATTCAAAATTGTTTGGTTGAATGTTAGCTTGTATACATTTGACCATAACAATTTTGGTAACCTTTGAAAGTTAAAATTGTCTATTTTCTTTTTATTTTAGAAAAAATGATGATTCATTGCTGAACAATAAAAACATGAAGAGGGAGAGCAAAGTTTATTCCTACAAAGAGCAATTAGAAGAAATGGCCCTCCGCCGAGAATTGGAAGAAAAAAAAAGGCGTGAAGGGAAACTCAAAGAACCAGAGTTGAATCCAAAGCAGAAAGAGGCTATGAAAATACAGCTTGAGAAAGAAAGTGCAATTCGTTCAAGGCTGACTGTGGTATGCATGGGTGGTGAAAGTGTGCTGAATGTAAAAATAGCTATTTCCTCTTCGTTTTTATTCAAGTTTCCTGATTTTTATTTCAGTTGAAGAATCGTTTGGACAATTGCATATCCATGTTGCGTGCTGCCTTGGAGGGAAATCCAACACATCTTTCTCGATACTTCCGAGAGATCCTCCCCAGCATTCTGACTAATTTAAAGTCACCACTTGCCGCTCCAGATTTGTGTGGTCTTTATGTCCAGTTACAGAAGGGTGTATTCAGCTCCTCCCATATGATCTTAGGTACGATTTTAACTCACTACATTTACATGCCCAAACTATTGTTCAAAATTAAATTGTTGTTTTAAATTTGCCCAGCTGATTTAGTGGGACATGTTACTTTGCGTCTGCACAAACCCATGTGCGACCTTGACAGTGCTTGGGAGGATGAGAAACTGGATGCAGCTGTAGCCAGAACCCTCAACCTGCTCCACAAGGCAACTGTTCGTCCACGCAGTGAAACTATTAAGGGTATGTCGTCTTATTAAAAATTGGAACACCTAGGTCATTATTCAAGGTGCTTAACGTTTTGTTGCTCTACAGATCAAGACAAGAAAATAATCCTGCCAGCTCCTGCATTTTGTTATTGTTTCACCTTTATCAAGAAAGCCTTGGTCCACCCATCTGTTCAAAAGGATGAAATCTTAATGACTAAAGGTATCCAGATTGTCTCTGCACATGCTCAGATGCAGGGAGGTGTTGTCGAACCCAAGGATGGTATTGATCTATTCCATCCAGATCTTTTGCCAAGACGGCTGATGTTTGAACTTTTGATTGGAATTATAAGTAAGTTACTTTCCTCACTGTTAGGGAATGGTATGCATTTTCTACCTTTGACATGTATTTCATTTAATTTATATTTTACTTTATTCAGGTGTTTCCACGGGAAGACTTCAGCAACTTGCCAGTGCAGCTCTCATGGATGTCGCTGCTTCAGGCTCTGCTCTGGAAGGATATGCTAGGGCCAGTGAAGATGAAATTGACAGCCTGCTGTCAGCTCTTCAGAACCAAGACACCAACGTGAGAGATGCTGCTCTCCGGGTAAGTCATATACTACTAACTACTTTGTTGTTTCATTTTATTATTACTATTTGGAATTGCTTCTGAAATCCTGTTTACTTTTTATGTTGACAGGGTTTAGCTGCCATGGTTGCTGCTTTCCCTACCTTTAAGACAAATCCTGAACAGGCTGTCAGAGTGACTAGACGGATTTGGGTTGCAAGATTTGATGTTGTTGAAGAAAACAGGCATGTTACTTACAATGTCTTGCAATGTCAACTCTTTGTTTGAAGACCTCCATTTAAAACTTTCTCCTTTGTTTCAGGGAACTTGCTTCAAAGTTGTGGACGGCTGCTGCTCTGAAGTTGGATGAAGTACTCTGGATGGGTCTTCTCTTAGATGTTGTTCATCCTGTTGACGTTGTGCAAACTTCTGCAGCAGAAGCTCTGGCTGCATTGCTCAAGGAGTTTGAAGCGCCAATCCCTCAAGTGATTGAAAATCTTCTAGGAATATACAAAGAGAAACTGACGGTAAGTATTGCTTCATTGCACCTGACTGGTTTATTAAAATTTAATTCAACCATATATTAATAACTTTGAATAATAATAAAAACATTTATGTATTAAATTTTCCAGATGATTCCTGCCAAAGTTGATAGTTTTGGGCGTATTGAAGAGGAGGCTATTGATGTGTGGGAGCCACGTCGAGGTGTGGCACTTGCTCTTAAAGAATTAGCCCCTTTGCTCACACACAGTCAAGTGTCAAGCCTAGCTCAGTTTTTTGTCTCAAATGGCTTGGGTGACCGAAATGAAGAAGTCAGGAAAAATATGTTGAGTGCTGCCCTTGCATCAGTAGACTTGCATGGAAAAGATACTATCAATAGCTTGTTGCCAGTGTTTGAAAATTTCTTAGATAAAGCACCTGACTCTGGCAAATTTGATGCTGTTCGCCAGTCCATTGTCATCCTTATGGGATCTTTGGCTAGGCATTTAGATAGGGATGACCCCAAAGTAAATATGATTCCTCTTATCTGCTTAGTTTTTGTGTAAAGTGTAAAGTTAATGTGTGGAGTTCTTTAACTTTTTAGGTGAAACCTATTGTTTCTCGGCTTGTGGATGCCCTGTCGACACCATCTCAGCAAGTTCAGGAAGCAGTTGCCAATTGTTTGCCTCACCTTGTTCCTGCTGTCAAAGATGAAGCACCTGTGCTCATTAAGAAATTAATGGATCAGTTACTTGAATCCAGTGTGTATGGTGAGCGAAGAGGTGCTGCATATGGTCTGGCTGGCATCATCAAAGGCATGGGAATCCTTGCTCTGAAGCAGTATGATGTAATGACAACTTTGACTGAAGCTATTCAAGACAAGAAGAATTACCGTCATAGGGAAGGTAAACCATTTCTCTTTTGCAGAATGTTAAATTTCATCTAGTGAGAATGTTTTTAGCCATTCTTGATGTTTGATTCTTGTTTTCTCAGGTGCCCTTCTTGCATTTGAGATGCTCTGTAACATGCTGGGCCGCTTGTTTGAACCTTACATTGTCCACGTCTTGCCTCATCTGCTGCTTTGCTTTGGCGATGGCAACCAGTATGTGCGAGACGCCACAGATGAAACTGCTCGCATTGTGATGAGCAAGCTATCAGCTCACGGAGTAAAACTGGTTCTACCCTCTCTCTTAACTGCTCTGGAGGAGGACTCCTGGCGAACTAAAACTGGTTCAGTTGAACTGTTAGGTGCCATGGCTTATTGTGCTCCAAAGCAACTTTCATCCTGCCTTCCAAGCATTGTGCCAAAGCTGATTGAGGTTCTTAGTGATTCACACACCAAGGTACAAAATGCCGGAGCACAAGCTTTACGACTTATTGGTTCAGTTATTCGAAATCCTGAAATTCAAGGTAATATATTGTTATGGCTGTCGCAATTAGGTTCTGCAATTGAGTACTTAACTTCAATCGTTGATCACCTTTTTTTTCCAGCTATTGTTCCTGTTCTCTTGGAAGCTCTTCAAGATCCATCACATCGTACTGCTACTTGTCTTCAAACGCTTTTGGAGACCCAATTCGTGCACTTCATTGATGCTCCATCTCTGGCCCTTATCATGCCTGTGGTTCAGCGTGCCTTTATGGACAGAGCTACTGAAACAAGAAAAATGGCTGCCCAAATCATTGGTAATATGTATTCCCTCACTGACCAGAAGGATCTTATGCCATATCTACCAACAATTGTGCCAGGCCTCAAGTCATCGCTGTTGGATCCTGTGCCTGAGGTACAGACAATCAATGTTAAAGAAAAAATACTGACATTTTTTTGAACCTGAGCTAATTGTGTTTCTGTTTGTTAGGTTCGAAGTGTCTCTGCCCGAGCGCTTGGCGCTATGGTTCGTGGAATGGGAGAACAAACATTTGAAGATTTATTGCCTTGGTTGATGACCACTCTGACTTCAGAGTCCAGCTCTGTAGACAGGTCTGGTGCGGCTCAAGGTTTGAGTGAGGTGGTCAGTGGGCTTGGTGTTGAAAAGATGCACAAGCTTATGCCCGAGATCATTGCCACAGCTGAGCGCCCTGATATTGCTCCTCATGTTAAGGATGGTTACATTATGATGTTCATTTACATGCCAAGCGCCTTCCATGATGACTTTACTCCATACATCTCCCAAATCATCAACCCCATTCTGAAGGTAAGCCACACATCAGCTGTGATAACATTCTTATTTTTAAGAAATTTCAGAAATACACGTACATGGTTTTCTTGTCTTCTCTAGGCATTGGCTGATGAAAATGAGTATGTTCGTGAAACTGCTTTAAAAGCTGGACAGCGTATTGTCAATTTGTATGCGGAGTCTGCCATTATGCTTTTGTTACCTGAATTGGAGAAAGGTCTGTTTGATGACAACTGGCGCATTCGTTATTCTTCTGTGCAACTTCTGGGAGATTTGTTGTACCGCATCTCTGGTGTCTCTGGCAAAATGTCAACTGAAACAGCAGATGAGGATGATAACTTTGGTACAGAGCAATCTCACCGAGCTATAATTGACATTTTGGGTCCGCTCCGCCGTAACAGAGTGCTCGCTGGTCTGTACATGGGCCGCTCTGATGTAGCACTGATGGTACGGCAAGCAGCTCTCCATGTATGGAAGGTGGTTGTAACCAACACTCCACGCACTCTGCGAGAAATTCTGCCAACTTTGTTCAGTCTTCTCTTGGGATGTCTCGCATCAACTAGCTATGACAAGCGCCAAGTAGCTGCAAGAACCTTGGGTGATTTGGTTCGGAAACTTGGTGAGCGTGTTTTACCAGAAATTATTCCTATCTTGGAACGAGGCCTCGAGTCAGATCAAGCAGACCAGAGGCAAGGAGTATGTATTGGGCTCTCTGAGATCATGGAATCAACTAGCAGGGATATGGTGCTTACTTTTGTCAACAGCCTGGTGCCTACTGTGAGGTTTGTAGTTTTACATGTTTCATCATACCTCTCAGCTGTTCTCCTCACCAACTCCCTCACCAATAATTTATTGATGACAGGAAAGCAATGTGTGACCCTCTCCCTGAAGTCCGAGAAGCAGCTGCCAGGACTTTTGACAGTCTCCACTCTACTGTGGGTGTAAGGGCTTTGGATGACATTCTTCCATCCATGCTCAACCAGCTGGTTTGTATTTTATCCTATCCCAGTGTGTGTTACTCTATTTGAGACAGCTTTATATAAGGCCAATTGGTCTCCTTTTTCAGAGTGACCCCGACCCACATGTTGTGGAGTGTACATTGGACGGCTTGAGACAGGTCATGGCAATCAAGTCACGAGTCGTGTTGCCTTACTTGGTACCTCAACTGACTGCACCCCCTGTCAACACTAAAGCTTTGTCCATTTTGGCTAGTGTAGCTGGAGAAGCTCTCACTCGCTATCTTAGCAAGATACTTCCTGCTTTGTTAACTGCTCTCTCTGGAGCACAAGGCACTCCTCAAGAAGCTCAGGTACAAAGAATAACCAATTGATGGAAAAGGCATCTTCTTCTGGCAACATTTTGGGCACTCACTTATTTTATTTTTTTATGTGCTGTTGCAGGAAATGGAGTATTGCCAGGCTGTGGTGTTGTCTGTTAATGATGAAGTTGGTGTGCGTACTATAGTAGATTCATTGTTGGAGTCGTCACGTTCAGATAATGCTGCATGTAGGCGCTCAGCCACTGCATTGCTCTGTGCATTCTGTGGTCAAACACGAGCCAATTACACCCAGCACGTTCCCCAGCTTTTGCGTGGCATAATTCACTTGTATGCTGACACTGATCAAGGCGTCCTAGTCATGAGTTGTGAAGCTCTTGCTGCTGTGTTCAAGGTACTTAAGTTGATGTTGTACTTACCTACTAGTTGTGAATTGGGTAACTAATTCCCTTTTTCTTTTTGAATTCATAGACCCTTGAAGTGACAGCATCCACTGCCTATGTTGGTGACATTAAGCAAGCCATTCGCTTTGCTGCTGGGGATCTCAAGGGGCAACAGTATATGCCTGGTTTCTGTCTACCAAAGGTAATATTTTATCTTGTGCTTTTGTGAAGTTACATGTTGATTCAAATTCTGGTGACAAGGCATGTATAATCAAACCTTACAAAATTTCCAGGGAATTACCCCTATGCTACCTATGTTCCGTGAAGCTGTGCTAAATGGTCCACCAGAAATAAAAGAAGTGGCAGCGTATTGCATCGGTGATATGATTAAACTTATCACAAATGAGGCTCTTGCTCCGTCTGTGGTACACATCACTGGTCCTTTGATTCGTATTCTTGGAGATCGCTTCAACTGGCCAGTCAAGGCTGCTGTTTTAGACACACTCTCCTTACTGCTCTCAAAGGTAATTTATTTTGCTGTCAAACTATTGGTTTTTTGTTCATGGTGGCTAACAATAGATTTTCTTTGCAGGTGGGTGCCATGTTGAAGCAGTTCCTGCCTCAGCTGCAGACAACCTTTGTGAAGGCTCTCAATGATGGCAACCGCATAGTTCGAGTCAAAGCAGCGGTTGCAACTGGCCATTTAATCAAAATCCACACAAGGCCAGATCCTATTTATACAGAACTACACAACAGCATTAAAAATCTAGAAGACTCTTCAATAAGGTACTGTCTTGGCCTTGACCCTTGGTTGGTCTTGTCAGTGTGTGAGATCCTTTCTCTATCTTTTTTGTTGCCTTTTTTTGTTTTTAGAGAAACAATGCTTCAAGCTCTCCGATACATGATCACCGCTGCAGGAGACAAAATGTCTGAACCTATTCGAAGGGCCATCCATCAGACATTGATTGGTATGCTGAGTCACCCTGAAGATGTCTCAAGGTGTGCAGCCGCCGGCTGCCTCGGCGCCATGTGTCGATGGTTCTCACCTGAACAACTCAACGTTGTGTTATCAGATCACCTCTTGTGTAAGTATTTATTGTTTGCTTTAAATATCCATAGAAAACCCTGAAGTTATGTGATTGAATGGAATACTCAGAGTAGACTTTATTTTCACTGCTGCTTGGATCAGTTGAGGAAAATCGGATAAAGGGGAAAGGGTTTAAACCTCCACCCCAAGGTGAGACGTTTCTATTTTTGTTTGGTAGCAATGATTAGTGTTTGGTAGCTATGATTTGTGTCAGGTAGTAATGATTTTTGTCAGGTAGTAATGATTCGTGTTTGGTAGCAATGATTTGTGAGACTTTTGCTTCGTAGGATGAACTTATTGAAAAAAACTAAAAGTGCGTGAAATATTTTCTTACTTTGGTCTTACTTTGTTTTAGCGGATGATACTTCATTGGATTGGATGCTGAGACATGGAAGAAGCTCAGCACTCTTTGTTGCCTTGAAAGAATGCCCCTCTGTTGTGTATACGGACAATTTCTGTGATAAGTTGCACAGGGTCATTTTGTCTTTCCTGGTTGCTGACCGAGTAAGTAATCTTTATGGAATGTGGTAAACAGGTAACTTCTCAGCATGCACTCCTTCTAATGATTTAAAAATAAATTATTTCAGGTTCAAATTGCTCAAAATGGGATACGGTGCTGTGGTTACTTGTTTGACCATCTCATGTTGAATGAAAAACCACTACCCCAAACACTCATCTCACCTTTCATTAGGGTAAGTGCTTATCTGTTTCAATTTTTCCTCCAATTCTAATCTACTGAAACTTTCATGTTCATTACCGTTTCTCTTTCTATTTCAGACCATGAACCACAGTTCCAATGAAGTGAAGCAACTAGTGTCTAGAGTGTGCTCTTACTTAGCTAGAAGGCATGATAGAAAGACATTCACCCCTGAACTGTTGAAAGTCACATTGCCTATGCTTGTCAATGGAACTAAAGAGAAGAATAGTTATGTTAAAGCTGATAGTGAAATTGCTCTGGTTTCTGTTTTACGATTGCGGCAAGGTGAAGAAATGCTTCAGGTCAGTTTAAAACTAAGTAATGTGTACAGACCTTAATGAATCAGATTTATTTCTGTCATTTTTTTTAACCTCTTGATGCTTTTTTTCAGTATTGTTTGGGTCTACTTGATGCTGGAGCTCAGGAGTCACTCATGGACGTTATTAGTAAGGTTCTTCGTAAGGTAGCAAATCAACCTGAGACCAAGGAAGAGGAATTGGATGACACTCTTGTTACTTGAATTCATTAAAGTCAAAGTAATTTACATCCTAACAACGAATTGTGGAGAGCCCAGTTTTCTTACTCGTGATGTACTGTAGTTTTGTTATTCTATGAAAGACAGGGGTTTGCTAAACAATGTTTTTATGTGATATACTGCTAGCTTTTCTTCTCTTTTAAATTTTCCCTTTCAATTTTAGCACATTAGTGCATTATGGAAGGAAAAACTGGAATTGTTGTACTGTCTTATTTAAAATGGGCCAGATGACAAACTACTTATTTAAAAAAATATAAATTGATGTTGCATGTATTTGTACACTACCAATTTCATTTGTAGTCTGTATACTGATAACGTAAGATTATGTAAACTGGTGTATACATGTGTTGTGTCGAACAGTTTGGAGCAGTTTTATTCCATTTTGACTTTTCTTTTCTATTTTCTTCTGTTTTGTTGTTCAGTAGTTGGTCTCAGTATTCACACGGGTCTCTACCTCTTTGTAGGTTCTCCATTGTTTCTGTTGTTTTGTTTTTCATAATAAAATTTACAAATACATTTCCACAGGATTGATTTTTTCTTGATTTAAGTGTTTTTAAGATCCATGAGGCATATCACTGGCCCAAGGGTGACAAAATTGTCCACCAACCAACCCACAAGCAAGTATAGGTGGTTTCCAAACAGATTGTGTCAGGTAGGGATAATATAAAATTCCACAAGCTATTAGGTTAAAGAGGGGATATATTTGCAATTCAATTCAAAATATCCTCATTACAAAATACAATTGACAAATCTACTTAATCTAAATGAGAGAAAATGTTGTTTTCAGTGGCAAACGAAAACAGTTCATTAGTTCTAAAAGGGTACCATGACGCGTCCCGGCCCATGCCCGCTAAAATTAAATAACCGAAGAAATAACAATAAAACATGAAGCAAAGAACAAAATTAAAAGATTATTTTCATTGAAGGGGACCCTTTACAGTGCCGTGGTTCATTGTGTCATTTGAGTAGGTGTCATGAATGTCACCTTCATTCAGCAGCAGGTCTCCTGGATGTAATTAAAACTTTGTTAGAACTTTGAGCTACTTTTTTTTTAAAAAAGAAAAAAACAACCCCACATAGTTCTTTTTTAGTACCCTACAGAGGAGGTCACCTCTAGCATTATAGGCCTTGCACTACGAAAACGCACCATCAATGTAGAAACCAATGCATTTTTACGGCGCACAACACATATCACACAATGTTTCCTGTTTCCTCTGCGTATATTGACATTAGAACAAATAAGTATGAATGTACAGAACTGATTTTAGGTGTGTACTTCATTAATTAATAATGGGAGGATTCCACAAAATTTAAACCATTTTCAGATCAACTTATAAATTAAGTCTTACACATAAACTTATTTTGGTTCATCAAATTATCACATCTATAATTATAGACAACTTTAAAACAGTACAATCATAGTATTCACAGGTTTATTATATTTACTAAGACTATTAATATTGTATGAAATAATGTACAAAGATGTATTATATACAAAAAAAGAAAAAACAATAAAACAGATATCTGAAATCATCTCTTCTACAACGTCCATCTCCTGAACACAAATCTTACATGTGACAAGAAGGCAGCTGTGTATAGAATACAACTGTAATAAAATGTAACTGAAAATTCATAAGCTTGGTAAAGTGCTCACAGAAGGCAATTTTAAAATTTTGATCAGACCATCTCCAGCAGTGGTACATTGCAAAAAGGTGATGATTCAGATGATAAAACAACAATTTCAACAAAATATAAAACAAACATATCACATATTCATGACGGAATATTATATTATTTTCTTTTAAAATTGAAATTTGAAACACAGAATAAGCGAGAACATAAATTCAAAATTTCAACCACCAGATGAGCAATTTCAGTCAAAAGAAAAAGAACCTTGATGAAATAAAACATCACTGAAATCCAACTGAAATTTGATGGAGGCATTCTACTGGTGTATTGTAATTATGCAGTGCTGATTAATTATCCAATATTTAGAAATAAAGGCTGCAAGATCTCTTCCAAACCCTATGAGGGCTAATTTAAACAATAACATATGATTCCGTCTTCCAAGCCTACATTATTGAAATAAAACATTAAAAAAATGCGGAAAGGTTTCTGAACCACAGCAAACGCATTTTGGGTTAATATTCCCAGTAACAGAAAACACGTTGTTTCCAACGCAACGACAGCCCGACGGCGCGGGAGTCGCTCAGTCGAATTAGCCTTTGGGTTATCACGTTATCACATGGCCGGCTCAGGCCCGGGCCGCTCCTCCAGACTAGACCTCGATCCGGACAGGCTGTTCCCGCACGAGTCGCTGATGGACAGCTGCTCACCCGTCCGCTCGTCGCTGTCCTCCGCGGTGTCCGCGGTGGGCGTGGTCCTTCCCTCGCCCCGCTCGCCCTGCTCGTCCAGCACGGCGTCCAGCTTCTGCATCGACCCGAGCGTGGAGGACGCCCCGGACGCGCAGCTCAGCGACGCCGTCGACATGTCGTCCAGGAAGTCGAAGCTCGAGATGGCCTCGCGCTCCTTGTCGCCGTAGCGCACGAAGAAGTCGTCCCTGCCGATGATGGAGGGCCGGAGGTTGGACGACGGGAAGCGGAGAACTCCGAACGGCTCCCGGAAGGCGGAGGCTGTGTAGCAGAGCGAGCAGAGCCCGGGCCAAAAAATGAGACATTGCCGTATCATAGTTAACACGGAAGTGCAATGCGCGAGGTTCTGCTCCACACCTTTCTTGTGCCGCCGGAACCGATGCAGGCGGTGCAGGTGGCGGTAGTCCTTCGGGAGGTCCTCGCCGTCGCCACTCTCGCTGCCGCTGCTGCTCATGGAGCCCGAGCTGGCGCTGGAGGCCAGCATCACGTCCAGGAGGTTCGCCCGCGCCTGGGGGTTCAAACGAGAGTGAGCAGGGAGCAAAGTAAAGGCAAAGCGGCTGACAACGACAACGCGTACCTTGGGGTCGGTGAAGTCGATGTCGCGCTCCACGTGCACCCAGCCGGTCGGACAGCAGAAGGCGCCGGCGTCGACGCTGGAGGCGGCTTCCACCGACGAGGGCGCGGCCACGGCGACGCCCTGCTGCGGCCGCGGCCGCTGCACCGTCCCGGACGCCGGCAAGGCCGACGGCAGGGCCGCCTCCTCGCCCTCCCCCTTCCTGATGAGGCGGTTCAGCTCGTCGATCACGTCCTTGGAGGTGGCGTTCTCGTGGAAGCTGACGGCCTTGTCGTTGGCGTCGCACACCAGCACCGAGGGCACGGACGCCGAGGACGAGGACGCCGACGCCGGGTCCCCGACGCTCACACGCCCGCACGACGTCGTGTCCAGCTCCTCGTCCTCCAGCACCGTGGCCAGGAGCACCGGCGCGGCGGGCAGCGTCGCCATGATGACGTCATCCGCCAGGACGGCCGTGGTCTCCATGATGGCGATGCTGTCGGACAGAACGGCAAACCGTGAGCAGCAGGTTCCCAAGGGGACTGCAGGGATTGTTGGGTTCAGAACCGATCAGGAGGTTAGCCAAAAGACTACTCCAGAAACACGAACAAGCCGACTTGACTTACCGCTCCTGGGCGTCCGCGAGTACCGACAGGCGTTCCTGGCTCTGCTGGGCCTCCAGGACTGCGTCCCCGCCCCGCGGCTCCTCGCCGGACCCCTCCAGGTCGTCGCTGTAGCCGGACAGCGAGCGCGGCTCGTGGGGCTCGCCCTGGGACTCGTGCGACTCGGCCTGCTCCTCCTCCACGCTGAATGTGTACGACACGGGCCTGCTGCAGCCGCTGCTGAGCTCGGCCGAGTCCTGCTCCTCGCGCGAGTGGCAGTACTTCTGCTGCTCGGCGATGAACTTGAGCACGCTCTGCAGCGCCTGCTCGCGGTCCATGGGCGCGGGCAGGCTGTTGTTGTTGTTGAGGTTGTCGCCGTGCTGCCGCGAGTGCCGCGACGAGGAGTTGGACGCGAGGCTCTTGGTGCTCTCGAACTTGACGAGGCGGTAGAAGTCGCGCGTGAAGTCGGTGCCCACGGTGGGGGACTCCCTGCTGGCGGCGCTGGTGGCGGCGCTCGCCGCGCTCTCGTCGCTGCAGCCGCTCAGGGCCGCGGAGGAGCGCTTGGAGGAGCCCAGGTCGGCGTCCTCGCCGTGGCACCCGTTGAGGCAGCAGTCGTAGCAGTCCGAGGCCGCGGCCGACGACGTCCAGCTGCCGCCGGGCGAAGAGCCGGCCGCGTTCACCGCCAGGCTGGAGATCATGGCGTCGGGCGCGTCCGGCAGCGCGTACGGCCAGCCCGCCCCCAGGGACGCCCCCGCCGCCCGCGCCGCGCAGCCCCGCGAACTGCCGCCCGCCCCCGCCACGCCCGTCTCCAGGTAGCTGGCGTCGTTCCACAGGCACTCGCTCGCGTCCTCCTCCAGCTCCACCGAGTTGTTCTCCTGAAAGAAACCAAGTTCGGTCAAGAGATCGGTTTGAAATCCGCAGACGAATCCACTTCTTTACAGTGGTGCTCACCTGGATGCTCGGCAAGGCCGTGCCCGTGGCCGCCTCTGCCGCGGGAGCTGGTGCGGGCGTCGAGGACGCAGGCGCGCCCCGCCGCCACGACAGGTCCAGGTCGTCGCACGACAGTGACAGGCTCCAGTCCTCCATCTCGGCCTGGTCGTACTCCAGCTCCAGGTCCAGCGCCTCACGGTGGCGCTGCTGCAGCGCGGACCGCGTCTCGTCCAGCCGCAGCCAGTGCTGCACGTAGTCCGAGTCCCACCAGTCGGCGCCGAGCTCGCCGTCCTCCTCGGCCACGGCCTCGCACACCATCTGCAGCGGCAGCGGCGCCGCGGACGGCAGCAGGCTGGGCGTGGCGCGCGCGCGCCGCAGCGGGTGCTGCCGGTCCGCCAGCTCCACCAGCAGCACGGGCGGCGCGGCGGCGGCGGGGCAGGACGCGGGGGTGGACGCGAAGGACGCCGCGTGGTGCAGCAGCCGCGACAGGCACAGGTGCGAGTCGGAGAAGCTGTTCCTCAGGACGGCCTGCGGCACGGGGCGGGGCACGTCAGTGAGAGCAGCGAAACACACACGCGAACGCACGAAGAAGCAGACACCCACCTGCAGATCCCGTGCCGGCGGGAAGCTGTGCCGCGCGCTCAGCGCCTTGAGGTCCAGCAGCAGCACCCGGCCGCCGCCGGCCTCGGCGCTGACGGCGTCCGCAGCGGTCTCGGCGCCGCACACCAGCTCGGCCTCCTCCTTGACGTCCTCGAGCTCGGTGCCGGGGCCGAGGCCGGCGGGCGGCAGCGCGGTGTGCTCGCTGGCCCTGAGCGACGAGGTGGAGTGCTCGGCCTGCACGTCGCTCGACATGGTGGAGTACCCCTCGTCCCTGTTGCCGCTCTCCGGGCTGCTCTCGGGGCTGGAGCTGCCGTCCTGGTCGTCGTCCACGGCGACGGCCACGGCGGCGGCCACCACGGCCTCGTCGACGCCGGCCTCGGGCACGCCGGTCTTGGCCACGCCGGCCGCCCCCGACGAGGCTGGCGGCGCGTCCTGCTGCCAGCTGAGATCAGTCGAGTCGTCCGCCGCGCCGGCCGCCCCGGCCGCGGACTCCTGCGCGCCCTCCAGGGACGGCGCCAGGTGCAGCGACTGCGGCCTCGCCACCTGCAGCCACAGCGCCGGGTCGATGTTGGCCACGGCGGCGAGGATGGCGGCCGCGGGGTCGTCGCCGTGCCCACATGACAGGCCTGCGGGCTGGCCGCACGACGGCGATGGTCGGTGCCGGCCTGCTGGCCGCCGTAGGCGGGGCTTGGACAGGGTCACCATGTCGTCGCCGAGCTCCGGGCTCGTCACGTCCCCCAGCTGCTGCTTCAAGTCCTGGAACAGGCCGTCGACGTCACCGTGGCGTTCGCGCGCTGCCGGACACCACCACCGTCAGCACCCCGACGACGACTCACCTGGTCCCCGATCTGCAGCTGCTGCACCAGGAGCGTCGTGAGCGCGCGGTTCTGCGTCTCCAGCTCCCGGATGCGCTGCTGCAGGGCGCCGATCTCCTCACGCAGGCCCTGGAGGAGGAGGAAGGGCGTTAGAGCAACCGATAGACCGCGCTGCATAGTGGTCTTCTGGCCCACTGTGCGGTGGCGACCTCGAGGCGCGACTCACCTTCTGAGACAGCAGCGCCCGCACCACCTGGTTGGCCACATCGTCGAGGCAGCGCTCGTACTGCCGCCGCTGGTGCTCCGCGTCGGACGACAGCAGCCGGTTGTCCGACTCCACCGCGCGGAGCCTCTCCAGCAAGGCCTGCTGCACCGCGCCGCCGCCCTGCTGCGCAACAACAACAACAACACCCGTGAGCACCACGCGGAGCCTCTCCAGCAAGGCCTGCTGCACGGCAACAACAACAACACCGATGGCGCGCTCCGCTCCGCCAGTGCGCCTGTGGCCGAGCGGGTAGGCATCCCGGCGGCCACGCCTGCTCGACGGGACAGCATCGCACGGCTGAGAGCCAACCACCGCGCAGCCGCCACCACCACGCTGCACCACGCACTCACCTGCGCCTCCAAAGTCTTGACTTGCTTCTTGAGCGCCTCGTTCTCCTGGCTCAGCTTGCCGATCGTCGTCTGGCACTGTTGCACCCGCGCCTGCAAACAACAACAACATAACCGCGATGAAAACAAGAAACAAGGCGGTTTGTTTGCCTCCGCCATCGACTGACCCAGTTTGAGGGTGGCGGCGTGGCGTGGCGTCGCCGCCGCGTCGCGTCCTCCAGGCCATATTCCCATATCGCAGTGCTGCGCGCTGCGCGCTTGGCTCGACGCGCTGGCCTAGCCATAGCCTTGATGGCAAGCTCATTCCCCCGAAATGCATAACGCCATGAATCATTAAAATGTTTCGCTCCAGCTTCGGCCCCGCCTCGCCCCGCCTCGCGGCCACGCACGATCGTCGAGGCACTCGGGACGGCAGACTTTCCCGAGGAAGCGCATCGCCTCGACACCAGCAAAAAATGGCGTTCGTCTCAGCTTATTTACGGCGTACTTATTTCATATATCGCTGGAAGTTAGGGGGGGGGGAGGGGCTCCACTGTAAGCCGTAACCCGGAGCGGAATTCAATTTTAAAGGCGAGTTACTGGCGTTGGCGCCGGTCAGGGACCCTAAAACACGGCATTTCGTTACAGCGCCGTGGACCGGCCGTCGGCGCCGAGGGCTCGCCACGGGGCCGCGACGCGAGACGGCAGTCGTTACTCAAACTCGCCGCGCGGACCAATTTCCCGAAATGAAACCGAAAGTGGAGCGAAAGTGTCAAAACGCCCCCTCTCCCTCTCCCCGCGTGGCGCAGTGCGGTGCCCCTGCTCTGGGCGTCTCTCTCTCTCTCTCTCTCTCTCTGAGCCCCACTGGACTTGGCCGCCCCCCTGGGCCGCGGCGCCACCGGCCGGCCGGCCGCGCCGAATACGAATGACTCTCTGGCGACACGTCGGAAACGTCCGAAAGCAGAACAACTGCCGCCAAATTGCGGTTCAGTTACACGACTTTCTGGCGGGGCTGGCGGGCCGCGCACGCACAGGACGAGGAGAGGCGAGGCCGGCGAGGCCCCTCGGGGGCGGCACAGGCCGGGGGCGGCGGAGGCCGGGGGCGGCAGAGGCCGGCAGGTGTCGGGCGACGCCTGTCCGACACGGCCTCGGCCACGCACAGCGACGCACGGCCACGCGGCCCTTCATTAGAAGCAGAAACAGAAAGAAACCAGAGACGAGTTGGCCGGCCACCCGCTAGCCACTCCGCGCGGCGCGCTGTCTCTCTCGCTCCCGCGAGGGACACTGCTTCCTGGGTCTGAGTGCGAGCGAGACGGAGCAACACTAATCGGAACCCGCCTGCCGCAGGGCCGCCGCACGCGCGTGCGCGCAGGGCCAGATAAAATAGGAAACGGAATTATATAGGAAAAAGGCGGCGCGGCGGTTCGAGATAAAGAACCCCGTGGCCTAGGCCACCCCGCGGAACCGCCGGCCTAGCCTACCCACAGTGGGCCGCAAGACCGGTGGAGGCGGCCAAAATCCCGCACGAGTTTTGAGCTCCAGAGTCGCTAAACAGGACTCGAACCGAGCGTGTGACCACCAATGGACTGCTCTCCGAACGAGGAATCCATTGGTGGGTATGGTTTGAGTGCTCAGCCGGAGTCAAAACACAAAAACACCCCAAATAAAAAAAAAATTTTTTTTATGTTAAAAATTTAGTTTTAATTTTTTTTTTAATAAACGGAAATTAAAAATGGTCAAATCTCCACGCAACACACACACAATGCCACGCTGGGCGTTGCGTGCTGCGTGCGGCCTGAAGGGGGGGGGGGCGTGTAATAGGCTCGTAACGTGTTTTGGTGTCATCAGCAACGCCCTGGCGGCCCTGGCGGCTTGCGGGGCCAGGTGCGCGACCAGGGCCGGGCGAAAGGGGGGGGGGGAGGAGGGCCCCCCGGGGGGCACGGGGGCGTGGCCCCGGATGAGGCGGACGCGGTCAACGCGTCGCCCCGCGTCACCCGGCCTCGCAGGCAAATTCCCACGCACAGGCCTCTCACTCACTCACTGGGAAAACGAAGGCGCAACATATGACGCCTTTTCATGGAGCGCACAGACTACACACTCTTCTTGATGAAGCGCAGAACTCCACTTTACCGTTTTACCAGTAATCAAAACGCGAAAAAAAAACTGACTTACGTGGCAGTCGAACCCGAGAACTCACCTCGTACGCCGCGGAGAGCGCCGCCTTATCTTGCTTCAGTTGCGAACATCGAGTCTTGTACTGCAGCATGCACCGTAGGGCCTCTTCCATTCTGTCAACACACAAAACAAGAGAGTCAATTGGAGAGCAAAAGCGAAAAGCACACATCCGCTGAGATCTGCCGACGCGGGGACTCGAACCCGAGGCAAGGCAGGAAACCGGCGACAATAACACGGCATCGGAGCGGAACGTTTACAGCGGCCAATTTCACAAACTGCGCAGCGCTCGGTTCGGCGTCCTGCGCGTCCAGAGGTCCAGCGAGGGTGCGGTTTCCAACTAGCCATTGGCCATCGCACTGAATTCCATCCCCTTGAATAGGCTTCGCTGAATAATTCAGACACAACTATAACGGGGCCTTATCATCATCATCATCATTGTCCCCCTCCCCCTTGTTCCGCCCGGCCGACCAAGCCAGCCTCCCTCGAAGTGACCACACCTGCTCCCGCTCCCCTCCCAGAGTCCTTTGAGCGCGACCGGGCTGGACTTGCTGGGCCAATTAATTAGTTTGGCCCGGGAGGGGAGGGGGTGGGGGCACACTGTGCCTGGCGGGCGGCGCGGCACGGAACGGCCAGGCACGGCCCCCTGTGATCGGGACATCGGCCTTCGGCAAGGCCTTCGGGCCTCGGCCCGGCAGCAGAGCAGTCCACCGACCTCGCCAAAGGATAACCCCGGTTCAACCATGGTTCAACGGCTCTCTGTTCTCGCGCTCGCCACAGCCAAGTTTTCAGGGGAACTTTAGTTGTTGGTACAGCGTGTTCCAAAGCCCCGTGTATCGATTGTCGACTTGCACAGCAAGGCCAAGGGCCTTTATATATCTGTCCAAAGAGGAAGGGGGGGGGGAGGCGGGCTGGATGCGCCACAGAAAATAACGAGAAATCAATGGTTCGCCGGGGCGGAAACAAAAAATCCGTCACACGAAAAGACTCGCCGCCGCTCGGCTTGGGGGTCACGGGGACACGGGACACGGCGCCGCAATAGGTCAACGGTGGCAAAATCGAAGCAACAAAAATCCCATTTCCCCCCCCACCCAGGCTTCCTCTCCCCCAAGCTCCTTGTCTCCACGGCCATTTCGCGCCTTTTGCTTTTTCTGTGTGTCGCGTCGCGCGGCGGCCCCGCTGCCCCCGATTCGCTGGCGCCCAGACTCCGGGCTCCCCCCCCCCCCCGAAGTCCGTGCATGTATCTATCCATCCCCGCTGCGGCAAGAACGGCACGGAATTCCAGCAAAAGGCAGGACGACGACGGAAAGCAAGAAGGAAGCATTCGCCGCAGCAGAAGCAGCAGCCGAGGGGGTCTGTCTGTCGCTACACTAGCAACATTTGGAGAGTGAAAATTACTTTTTTTTTTGTAAAAAGAAAGGGGGAATTTTTTTTCACGGTAAAAACAGAACCTGGTTTTAATAATCGATACAGCGCGACCAGGGACGAGGGCGTCCAGGGCGACGAGGGCCTTGGAGGAGGCCGCCACCTCCACTGCAGGGAATGAAGGGCCGTAATCAATCATCGTTGCCAGTCTCCCGACGCCCTGTAGGGCCCTGTAGGGCACCGAAGGACTCAAGGGCGGCGCTAGATCGCGGCACCGGCAGGGGAAGGGGGAACCTACATAGTTATCACTCCGCCATAAACACCGCACTCGCCGGCCTGTCTCCGTGGCCGAGACCGTAGCGGCGCCGTCCGCTGCGCCCAAGGTCAGCGGTTCGAATACTCGCGGCGCGCAAATGGAAGCCGACGTCGTGGGGGCGTGTCGCCTCGTCGCGCCGTCTCTCCAGTCGCGTCGTAGCGGCTCGAGGAGGAGCGGCGACAGCAGCCTGAGCTCTGCTCCCATCGCTCCGTCTCTCTCGCACTCAAGGGGCGTCCCGCAAGGGAGCGAGAGAGACAGCGAAGAAAGCAGAGCTCAGGCTGCGCAGGCGGAGTCCGGGAGAGCCGACCTTCGTTCCGACGTCGAGGCAGAGAGAGAGGGAAAGGGGGGGGGGGAGAGGGACCCACCCCTTTCAAGCAACCCCACCAATTCGAAACGGTTTTCAACGGCATTTTAATGCCATTTTATTTAAGGCGAATCCGTCACACGTCACTTCGCCCATCAAAGTGGCGGAGCCTTCAATCGAAGTACACTGCTAGAAGGCACACAACGATCCAGACTCCCCACCCAGATTTTTTTTTTCCGCCCGACGTGAGAGGTGCATGGGTCTAGAGGGAGAGGTGACGAACTCCGCGCCACCCCAAGAGGCCCTGGAGGCTGATAAGGGCTCTGGCCTTACGTGGCCATCTATTATTCACATTCACAATGAAGCCTCTAGTGCCCCTCGGCGGCGCCTACACCGTGAAAGCTGTTTCACCCCCAAAAAGGGCCTCCTTGCAGTGTGACTACTGACCTGGCCAGATCGCGCTGCAAGGCGGCGAGCCTCGCCTTGCACTGCTCCGCCTCGGCCGCAGAGTCCAGCCGCAGGTACCTCTCGCGGTCAACATCGCGCCGCACGGCCTGCAACAAAACAACGACAACAATGCGTTAGCGGGAACAACAACAAGGAGGAGGACAAAACAAACACTCTCTCCAGTCGTGCGCCGCCTGGCAGAGTCGAGTAGGCCGGCCCGCCACACACGTGTGCACGACATTGCCTACCCATCAGACTCACTCTCTCTCTCTCTCTCTCTCTCTCTCTCTCTCTCTCTCTCTCTCTCTCTCTCTCTCTCTCTCTCTCTCGCACGCGCGCCCACTCCCTCCCCCTCCCGGCGCGGCCAGGCTTGGCCCTCGAGGTTTGTCACGGCGTCGCGAAAAAAGCAAAAGGGCGACGTCAGCACGGAGGCTGTGCTGCCGGAGAGCAAACAGGGAGGGGAGGGGAGCGGAGGGGGTTGGATGAGGTTCTGGCTCTGGCTCTGGGTAGCCCCGCACGCACTGCCGCACCGGGGCCGCCGTGTGGGCCAAGGAAAATAAAGGACAAAAAAAAAACGAAAAGGAAAAGAAAAGATCCTCCACCTCCTTCTCGACGGCCTCCTCGGTGATGAGCGGGAAAATTTCTCCCTGGCCGCGCTTTTCGGTTCTGGCGCCAATTTCACGCGAGTTGGGCCGAACTTTGGTCGGCTCGAGCGACGCGAGTGTGCACTAGTGTAGCGTAGCCCATGGCAGCGTAGCGGCAGTAAACTGGGCCGTTTAGCAGTGCGCTAGCCGGCGCTTGCACAGCACACACCTAAAGCCTAAAGCAGCTATCCGCCTGGGGTGCGCTCCCTTACGACAGCGTTTGCCTTCGGGTTGCCTTCGGGTTGCCTTCGGGTTGCCTTCGGGTTGCCTTCAGGTTGCCTTCGGGTTGCCCTCGGGATGCCTTCAGGTTGCCTTCAGGTTGCCTCCAGGCTGCTCGTCGCCAACGGCCCAATTTTATCTGGGGCGCAATCATGCAGGGCCGTTAACAGATTATAGTCCGCCCGCCACACGCTCGGCCCTCGCCTTCGTCCCTTCGGCCCTTCGCCGAGGAAAGGGCGAGCCAATCAGACGCAGGCCGGGAAAGGGCCGCCAGCTTATCAGCCTCCAAGGGCTCAAGGACGCAAGCCGGGCGCACCGGCGCGCATGCGGGCGGGAGGCTTTTTTTCCTCCGGCTTGAACCTCGTGTGCGACCCGCGGAACTACCGAGGAACTACTTCCACGGCGTTCGTTCCACGTGGGAACGACCGCCGTGCTCTGGCGGAACGGGACGAGCCCGACCAAGGAGTTCCCGCAATGAAACTGGAGACTGAAATGAACTTGGTGTCCGACTGGCCGGCTGGCCGGGCGACCGGGCGGCCTGGTCCCTCGGTCCAGCCTGGGCTTCGGCTTGGCCTCGGCCTGGCCGCACAGTTCCAGGCCCCTTTTACGAGTGCCATTCCAGATTACAGGCCAAACGGCTCGCCGGCAAAATTAGGCCAGCGCCCTATCTACGTTACGATGCCGAGCCGGGCGCGCCGGACGCGGCAACGCGGCAGCGCGGCCCAGGCGAAGACAGCGCGCGCCTTGATACCCTGGCAGGACCCGGCAGCCAGTCCCGCGCTGACTCCGTGACCTACCCCACGACGCTGCAAGGCGCTACACTGGGATCGCTGGAAAGTCACCCGGAAATTGGGCGGTACACTGGGAGGGAGGGGTCCGTTTTGACGTCCTTGCGTCGCGACTTCGCCTCTGTGTCCTCCACGTTGGTTCCCGTTCCTGCCTCGCGGGGCAGCAGACTGCTTCCGAGAGTCGTGTTCGTCGCTCTGCCTCTCTCGCACCTACACGGGACGCCCCATGAGTGCGAGAGAGACCGAGCGACGAAAACGACTCTCGGAATCAGTCTGCAGGTGCTCACTCGCCGCGCTATCGCGGCGTGACGTCATCGCCACAGAGGCGCTTCGATCGCAGGCAGGGCCGCAAAAGGGCTGCAAGGGCCGCCGCCAAAGCGAAGGGAAAAGGGAGGGACTTGCGCAGACATGAAACACTAAAAGCCACGCGTTACGGCATCCGGCCTAACGACCAATTAGCGGCAACACCCCGCGGGGAGTCGAACCCGGGACCGGCCCGACACACACACACACTGGAAAATAAATGCAGCCGATGCCTTTGTCAGTGGCCAGACCAGTGGGAATCGGACCGCCGCCAGCGCGAGTGTGTGTGGGCGGGCGACATGGTGGCCAGCGGGTGGCGTTTATGAGATCATGGTATTCGAGCACCTACACACACACACCTACACACACACACAGTCACGCACGTGACACGCGAGACTCATGATTAGTTCACACACACACATGACAAGGCCGACGGGATTATGCCCGCCGCCACCCCCACCAGGGGGCCACGCCAGCCACGCCCGCCACGCCCCAGCACCCGGTCCGTGGGTCCGTGGGTCCGTTGGCTCGCGGGGGTGCCTGACCGACCGGCCACGACCACGGCGCTGTGCCTGTGGACACTGCGGACACCACTGGGCGCCGCGCCGCCGGGATCCGAGTGATGGGTTCGGAAAATGGAAGGCAAACAAACACTGTCCCGCTGCTGAACGGCCTGAAGGGCCATAGAGCCCTGAAAGGGTCCGCTCTGTCGTGTGCGTGTGTGTGTGTGTGTGTGTGTGTGTGTGTGTGTGTGTGTGTGTGTGTGAAGGGTGAGGGACCTGGGCATTAGCGCTGACAAGGGCCGTATCGTATGTTTGCCGCTCACAATGTCATGTGTACCGTTGCAATGGTCGCGAAATGTTGGCAGGGGTCCACAAAAAGATGCCCAATCAAGATGAAACAATGCTTTTGCGATGTCCTGGCGTTGTCTAGTACGCATAGCAGCATGCTGCCTTGCATGTCGGCCCTGTGGGTCCTGTCGCGCTGTCGCGCCCCACCAGGATGTCGTGCGTGGAACGGCAATGTGAATGTGAAAGTGAATGGTGGTGGAGGCCTCGCTGCGAGCCTCACTGGGGGTGGCAAGGGGGTGGCGTCCAGCTGTTGATTTACGGCAACGTGGCGCACCGCGCCCCCAGCGCAGAGCGAGAGGCCCTCTCGGTGCACTGCCGCGGCACTGCGGCGCACAGTGGGCCAGAAGACCGGTGGAGGCGGCCGAAACCCCGGACGCGTTTTGAGCTCCAGAGTCGCTCAATGGGACTCGAGCCGAACGTGTGACCCCACCAATGGATTCCTCGTTCAAAGAGCAATCCATTGGTGGGGTCACACGTTCGGTTCGAGCCCCATTTAGCGACTCTGGAGCTCAAAACACCCAATTTCTAGAAATGAATGAAACAACCGCAGCCAGAGAGCGGTGACAAAGCACAAGCGCGTCGTCGAGGGAGACCCGACAGAAACAGACACTAAAAGAGTCCCACTGAGCGAGTGCTGCGTGCCACTGCACTGCGTGCGCGGGGGCGGGGTCGGGGGCGGGCGGGGCGTTTAAGGCGGCGGGGTGGGGGCGGCGCACATCTGGTCACCGTAGACGCCCTGCCGTCGCCGTGCCGGGCGGCGCCGCGCCGTCTGAGGAGTCGGGGCGGCGGCAGTCTGAGGCGGCGGTTGGTTTGGTTTGAGTGCAGTGCGCGGCAGTGCGCCACGCGGCAGCTTTCCAAACAGTGCTTCCGTCGCTCTGTCTCTCACAAGGCGCCACTCCACGAGTGCGAGAGAGACAGAGGGGTGAGGGTGTTCGGAACGAGCCCGGGGAGAGCGGCGCAACGGCATTTAAACGCGCTGCCAACAGCTGGCGGCGTAACTCTCAGACAAAGCCACAGCGCCAGGGCCTCCACCGCCACGGCCTCCACCGCCTCGGGGGCGGCCGGATCGGGTGGCAACAATCAAGGCTCCGGTAGACGGTCAGGACGGTCTTGCGCAAGACGAAGATAGAAACTGGGGACGTACACGGTAAAAACGGCTCCTGATTTTCCCGGGATCCTCTCTGGAAATCGCCTTTATCTTTGCCATAGGCTTTCTGGGGAAACCGGGAAACGTTTTCACCGTGTAGGCGGCGAGTCGCGGCGCGCCACTCCACTCGGCACGTCAGAGACTCGTGGAGCGAGGCGCGGCCCGGCACTCAAGGTCGCGAGTTCGATCCCCGGCGCCGGCGAATTTACATCCCTACCGGCAGCAGCGCCGCGGCGGGGTTATTTGAACTGAGTCCTTCCTGGAAGCCTCGGCACGGATCACCACAGCGCTGTGCCTGTCCTTTGGCGCCGCCTGGAGGGCCTTGAAGGGCTCCTGGGTAGTCCTCGCGGCTCAAGGGCCGTGCCGCGTAGGGCCGTGGTGAAAGGGCTGGCGGGGCCGCCCCGGCAGGAGCCCCACGTGTAGGGCCCCGCTGTGCCCCACAGGGCCACGTGACGCGCGCCACCGAGACCCTCATCTGTCGGGGGACATCTGTACCACAGAACGCAGAGCGACGCAGAGCCCCGCGCACACCACGCCACGCACCGAGACTGAGGAACCGCTGCGAATGAGGCTCCTTGAATGACATTCCCTCCAAGCTGGCTCCTCCTGACGGCTCCTGCAGAATAACCCCCTTTTTTCCAGCGTGGGCACGCCAAACCCAGGCACTGCTTTTGCCGTGCCAATTCAATCGTGGGATTGAAATTCGCCCGGACGTTCGTTTAGTTCCAGGAATAACTCGGGCGTGACCGGCACCTGTCGAAACCCGACGCTATCCGAATGTTCGACGGTCGGTCCGACATAACTTCGGACACCAGTCCGTTCTCATCGTCCCGAGTGACTTGCACAAAGCACCACGCCCGACAGCCAGCCCGGGGTTGGCGTGGGCCGTTCGGGGTGGGCGGCCGCGGGCCCCGCGGGGGGTTGGGGAAGGCAGGGGCGGATCCAGGGGGAGAGCCAGGGGGAGAGCCAGGGGGAGAGCCACGGGGGAGGCGGGTTGCGGGCCGGTGGGGCGCCGAGCGGGTGGACATTGGGTGACAGGTGCTAGGCGCGTGGCACAGGTGAGAGGGGCCCCCGAAGCCCCAAGACTTCCACAAGACAACAGTCCTTGACCGCGCACCGCACACCCAAGCAGTGAAGCAGCGCGCCAGTGGTTCC